CCCCCTCACCACACATCGGTCACGGGACGTCAGTCAGTCAGTCAGTCAGGGCAGGCAACTCGTCCAAGCTGATCCCAGGCGTCGTAACCACCTGATGATTCGCCCCAGCGCGCTGAGGGAGAAAATCGTTTGGTCTCTCACCGAAACCTCCAGGCCTTGGCTAGCTAGGCAAGTCAGTCACTCCGTGGGACCGTCACACCGCTACTGGCCTGCGCGGAGAGGAGAAGGAAGGAGAGCTAGAACCTAGATCTTGTGTGCCACTTGTTTCAACTGTCAACAAAATCGAAGAAGAAGAAGTAAAAAGAATAGGGAGTAGAAGAAGTAGAAGAAGTAAAAGAAATAGAAGTGGAGAAGTAGAAAAATTAATAATTAGAGGAAAGCAACAATTCCGGCCGCTGCGTCGATCGTGTTAATTACACCTTTATTGTGTCTGTGCGCGTGTACGTAAACCTTCGCTTCTACGTTGGTTTTTTTTCCCCTTTCTTTCTTTCATCTCAACACTGTGCGTGTTTGTGGAAAGGCCTGTGAGTAAGTTCGTTTGTCAGCGTGTACGACGGACGTGGCTGTTTGGACAAAAACATTCTTTCTCTCACTTCGTCAAGGATTGACTGACCACAACGTCGTTCAACTGGTCAGAAATATATTTATTGTTGACAACAAATCGTCGTCACAGTGGTCAGATGGTGTCGACCTGTTTTGTGTGACTGAAGTTCGGCCTCAGCAGAGTGATGATACAGGACAGAATCTCAACTTGTGCAGGACTCTTCAACAGTTACGTCGTTGTGACTTCTTCTTGAATATTTACGAGAGACAAGGTACATTTTATATACGTGAGTTGTTTTTTTTTTTTCGCCCAGTCTGTAACTGCAGCTATTCTGACTTTCTCAATTAAAAAAAAAAAGTCTCGGAGCGAAGAATCTTTCAGAGGCACTCCGAAGTGCTAAGGAACAAGTTTTTCAAAGTGAGACTTCTCCTGAAAAAGTAAACGTTCTCTAAATAAATTTCATGTGTTGGACTTTTGTGATTTCTCAAGCTTCTCGGATTCTAAAGATAAGAACCCAAGACTTTAAATGTTCAAGGAACGGAATATAACCAGGGCGGGTTATTCTTCTGCACTCTTGTCACCCTCCCAGTCTTCATCAACGTCTTCGTCAACAGTTCATGACGGTCGAGCTTATAATTTGACCATCAGCCAAACCATTGGCTTATTTCAACGTCATACCCCGGGCACAGGTCTGTGTTCGTGAATCACCATCTCAGCTTTCATCATACCCCCCCCCCCGGCCACTCCACCCCCTTCTGTGGTCTGTTGACCCACTAACCACTGACCCACTGACCAGTGACCAGTGACCACTGAGCAGCGCCACCAATGATGACCGAGTCGGACCTGGTGTCTCCCACCTCCACGTCTGCCCCTCACGAGCTCAGCCCGGGCAGGATGGAGGAGAAAACTTCCTACAGAAAGGTGAGTACTCAACAACAGCAACAACAATATTAATGATGATGATATAATAATAATAATAATAATAATAATAATATC